AGGAGGAGCAGCAGGAGGAGCAGCAGGAGGAGCAGCAGGAGGAGCAGCAGGAGGAGCAGCAGGAGGAGCAGCAGGAGGAGCAGCAGGGGGAGCAGCAGGGGGAGCCGCAGGGGGAGCCGCAGGGGGAGCCGCAGGAGGTCCAGCAGGGGGCGCAGATGAAGCGGCAGGAGGAGCAGAGCTGCCGGGAATACGGATGGTGGAGGTGATCTTGTCGGTGGAAGTGGTAGTGATAGTACCGTTGTTGCCAGTGGGGTAGACAGGGGGCTGAGGAGGCGGGGGAGGAGCAGTGCAGTAGGCCTTGCAGGAGGTGACGGTGATGGTGCTGGTAGTGGTAGTGACCTTTCCGTCGGTAGTAATGGGGCAGACAGTGGTCGTGGTGTACGTGGTCATCTCCTGAGTCTTGTTCTTTTCGGGGTAAGGAGTAGGAGTGACGATGATCGAGGTAGGGTAAGACGGATGAGCCTCGCAGACCTCCTTCTCAAAGGCCATGTAAGTCTCATAGTCGGGCTGGCTGCAGCCCTTGCTGACCTTGCCGGCGACGTCCTTGCCATGAAGATCACCGCAGATGCAGGCGTAGTCGCAGGGGCTGCACTTGCTGCTGGAGATGGCCTCGAAGACGTAGGTCTGGACGGATTGAGGAAGCTTCTGGACGGTACCGATGATGTCCTTGTCGCACTTCTTGGGCACGGGAGAGGCGCTGTAATGAGCAGTGACATAGGATGTCATGGTCAAGGCCGAAGTGACGTAGGTGGTCGTAGTGGAAGGCATCTTGCTGGACTCCGAAGACTGGCTGGGAGTAGGAATGGAACTGACGAGGGGAGTGCTGACAGAGTAGACCGGAGGAGCCACTGGAGTGTAAGCTGGGTAGACGATGGAAGAAACTTCGTAGGCCATCTTGAAAGATTTATAGTCTGTTTCGAACTGAGAACGAAAGTGAGTATGTTCGAATGCAGAAGTTCAGCGAGTGATGCTCTTCCATATTCCGCTTCGGTGCACTCGTTATATAGAAAAATGCTTCTCGGCATTTCACCTCCACCGTTTGCGACATCTGCTAGAATTTGCAACGGGCTCACGGTGACGCGCGAATGTAAAAATAAACGCCACACGCATCCGGAAGATGTCTTTGTCTGAAGTTGAGCACTGTGGGGTTTCCTGGGTCGACGTTGCGCTTCCGGATTCGGCCAATACTGAGGAATGTAACCACCACCAACGAAATTTTTGCGCAAAGCTTAGCTCGCGCTGGGTTGGATGCAATTGAAATAGTCCTCGGAAAAGCCCTCGATCTGATGAGGCACAGAAAGGGGCATAGCGTGCGGCTTTGCTGCTCCTGCACCTAATGCAGCGCCGCAACCTGCGGCCAGTCCCGCTGCGTACTGCTGAAACACACTTGATCGCACATCCACGAGCGCGTTGTATCGGGGACAGCTAATCGGGAGGGATGTGCTGTCATGGACTGCTGGTCTCGTGAGGACTATGTGATGGACTGCGAATGCGCCCAAGTAGCATCGTCATATCGGCATGAGCTTCCTTCTCTTCTGCCTTATCCAGCCAGACAATGATGCGCGCGATGTCTCTGACCTCATAGTATCACTCAAAATGCTCTTTGGCACATCGTATCGCGCGTGAACGGTCATCTGTGGCGTCGAGGTCAGGCTCTGGCTGGTTAGCTAGAAGATTCCGGTAGTATTGATTGAGTCCTTGCTTGTCATCATAGCTCTCCCGCATTGGGTACTTCTCCATGTAGTCTCTGTAGCGATACGCTAGAATGTATGGTTCCTGTCGAAGTGATTTGGCCTTCTTCTCTTTGCGGAGTCTCCGCTCACACCGCCGGTGTAATTCGGTGCCATCCATGTAGTTGGAGGACATGTTTTCGTAGTGGGAGCTGTGGTGTACAAAGTGACAAAAGTCATCGATTTTGAGATGTCGTCGAAATCTGAGACAAAGCACCTTGTGCTTTGTCTCGCAGCAATACATGTCGAATGAATGTGAATCGTGCAACAAGAAAAGATCGCTTCATCCTTTGTTGCGCTGAGACAGGCGCATCTCGTCTTGTGCTTCCAAATAATCTCTTGCATCATATATCGTATGGTATCATGTTCCAATCGGCGTCTATGGCTGTGCCATTTGTGCGCCGGACTCCAGATCGTAGCTCGTAATATACAATTCGATGCCGTTCGGTGGTGCTTCTTCCTTTCTCCCTTCTCCCCTCTCCTGGGGCCGACGCTCGTGTGATAATTCTCATGGCTTCCAACCCTGCTCTTCATGTGCTCTGTGACGATGGCCGTGATCATGAGGCCTCACACGGTCTCGCCATTGGCAGCAGCACTCGCACCGCCCAGGCTGTTGAGTGCTTTTGCAATATATGGCCCTACAATGGGGATGCCTCCAGCGAAGCCAGCTATTGTAGCGAAAAAGTCGCCAAAGAGGACCAGGATGCCGTATAGCTCGATCAGGAACCCGAAGAACGCCCAGCGCATGAGGATGAGTGTGATACCAAGCGCAAAGGCCGCGGTGCCCTTCCATTTCTGCCGGCGCGCGAAGAAAGCGAGTGTTTTTTGGGTGCCGATGATCAAGGTGAGGCCGATCAGGAAGAGGATCTATCGTTCGTCAGGGTGGGAAGAAGTAGGTGGACGGTGAGCGTACGTTGCCCATGGCCAGCCTGTCGGATGTTAGCTAAGGACAGTAGTTGGAGGATCGGTAGCGTACATGGCGCGATCAAAAAACATCATGACACCGCCCATCAGAAAGAGTCCGCCTGTATAGTCCTGTCGTCAGCTTACTGCTCGGTGCTGTCGCGTGTTCGATAGGATGGCTGTTTGTGGCGGGCAACCGCGTACCTACCTCCTGAGCAGAAGGCGACCCCAATCTCTGTTTGCCTGTCAGTATGGGGTCATGTGCTGAGTGATTAGGGGCGCACTTTGGGTGTCTGAAAGCCACATGGTAGGCATCTTGAGTGGGAGAGGGCCGTGAGCCTGTCAAGTCTGTGGCTCTGGTGTTGAAGGAGGGACGACAGATATCAGATACAGCGACTGTATAGCTCTTCTCAATTTGTACGTGTCTGGGGTAGTTGTTCGGTGCCTGTCAACTTTTGTTTCGTGTCCCTTCTTCCTGCAGCTGGTTGACGCGCCTCGGTTTTAGCGCAGCCCCACCCACCCCTGCTAGTCGAGTTCCGCGGGAGTTTGCAGATTTTTGAGCTTCGCTGTCTCGTCCCTCATCAACTCAACATGTCAGATGCCAAGATCGAGTACCAACATGCAAAGAATCCATGTCTATTCTTATGGTGCTATGATGCAGTATCTTGTGGTGTAGGAGCAACGTAGAACCGCCCTGACAACAGTATGCCAATCCCGTGCTGCTGTAACTAGGAAGCCTCCCCCCGAGCTCCTGGTATGCCGTCTGAAGGGCGAAGAACAATACAGGATCACGATTAAGCCGGAGCGCCTTCTTGAACCTTGCTTCGAAAGGGGCTTGTGTGGGTGGAAGGTGCTTGACTTTGATGGTCATACATATCATGCTGCTGCTGCCGCGACTTGCTGACCGCCTTCGTCTGATGCCTGTGACCACCTGCGGCTTATACGTGCGGTCAATGCTCGGTCTGGTGGCTAGTGTCGGACTGCGCGAGCTGGGGCGCGGCGCTGATGATGTGTGTCTTGAATCATGTGGCATGACAGCTCATTTCAGTATGGTATGCGCGCCTCTGGCGGCCAGGTATCCTTCGTACACGTTCTGTGGCATGGTCCTGATAGTACCAAACATCTCCTTGTTGTGGTATCTCAGCCTCGTCTTGGGATCAGTGTACGGCGCAGGCAGCCCAGTGATGTCGCAGTATTTCTTCTGCGCGCTCGGGTGGAAGCTCGGTGCAGATTCGATATTCGTGTATGTAGGCGCAGGTCCGGCCGTGCTGTTCGCAGCTGCGCGTCCATTCCTCTCGAGCACCAGCCTATCCAAGCTCTGCGCTGCCTGCGCGATGTTTGTCGGTCGGCCAATGCCAGCTGGCGTGGAGCCGCCTTCAGACGCGATAGCTGGCGTCGACGCGCCACTGTTGGCTTGTGTGTTCATCATCGAGGCTTCTTTGCGTGACACTTCGCCGAGGACTTGCTTGAGGTTCTTGTTGCGGCGCTGCGGTGGCTTCCAGTTGGGGTTGCGGAATGGCTTGTGTACGGCGTAGATATCGAGCTTGTCGAGCAGCGCTTGATGTGTCTTCTCATCTGTTTGAGCTGTGAGCGGTGCCATATTGGATGCGGATCTGCGACTGCGGCGACTGTGACGTGTTGTGTATTGTCGAGCTGTTGATGGGGGCTCGCCGAGGTGGAGCTCGGTCGGCGATCGCCCTTCACTGAACCGCCCTGCATCTAACTGTTTTGGTCCATCCCACCAACAACAGCACGCACTTTACAAAAGCATGGTAGGCCACGAAGATGATGAAAGCAGACTAAATAGTCTTGTTCACACGTGCACTAGGAAAGTCCTCACGAGCACCAGCAGAGCCTCTTACTCTCGCGTATCATTGTCAATGTTGTCCGTGGCAGCCCAACGTAAACACCATCCATATGCGCCGACTGACACCGCCACAGGAGAAGCTGAATGAAGCCATCATGATGCTGAACAAGAACCTCCAAGAGATCAATATTCAGAACATGGACACCGAGCTTGTTGCGCAAATGTTCAAGAACTACCAATCAAACGTCCTGTTCCATCTCGAAGGTAACGAAGCCTTGTGATCTCTGCAAGTACATACACGACTGACGGCGACAGCAACAAACGGTCTGAAGGACCCAGCCTGAGTGGGAAGCGGTTCGCTTGCATACATATCGAGCGGTACATATTGAAGACCTGTGACTGGAAGACGAGCAAAGATGGAGGCATGATAGCAAGACGATGAGGATGTACGCAATGATACCCACATATTACAAGAACTTGAAACCACAATTGAACTTCATTCTTCCGGTAGTAACCCCCGATAGCACCGTAATCATTGAACCTGCAAGTGAGTTGGAGGCACCTGAATCAAGTGATAGCGTAGCGTACACCACCACGGGAGTGCTTGGTCCGTGATGCCTCGCAGCTCCAGCAACCACAGCATGCAAGCAACACAACTCCAACTCCAGCAATCCGCGCGCTAGTGACCTGCGCACACCGCCTCGACTACGCGACATGAGATAGACGTTTCTCCACCACCTCCACCCCATATCACGACCTCACGACAATGGCACCCTCCGCCATCGACGATGCGCCTGCCGCCGCAGGGCGCAACTCTCCCAAGCCTCCGCCAGTGCGCATCTGGAATGTGAGCGAGCCACCGTTCGAAGGCTACAGATCTGTCGATACCGAAGGCTACGCGCGCAGCAATCACGAGACCGCCATCATAATCGATAATGGTAATTCACAAACGAGACATAGGTGTAGACTTATCGCAATTGCTAACAAACGCGTAGGGTCGTCAGCAGTACGCGCAGGATGGTCGTTCGACTCAAAACCGCGACTCTCAGTGCTCCCGAACATGGCGCGGTATAGGGACCGCAAGCTCAACCGCACCTTCACATTCATCGGCTCAGATGTGTATTCGGATGGTACAGCGCGCGGGCAGTCGAAGCCCATATACGAACCAGGGAGCAACGTCATAAACAACTGGGATGCTATGGAGGGTGTGCTGGATTATTGCTTCATCAAGATGGGCATCGATGGCCGATCAGGGAGCATAGACAGGCCCATAGTCATGACTGAGCCAGTCGCCAATCTGGGCTACACAAGAAAGAGTACGTACGACCTCGCATGGTCAGAAACAAGTCATCACTAACAGCGATATGACAGCCATGTCCGAGATTCTCTTTGAATGCTACGGCGCGCCCGCTGTCGCATACGGCGTCGACTCGCTCTTCTCCTACTCATACAATGGTGGCCGCAGTGGCTTGGTGGTCGACTCCTCCTACACCTCGACCCACCTGATACCCGTCGTTGACACCAAGCCTCTACTCTCACAAGCCACACGGCTCAACTGGGGGAGATTCCAGTCTGCGCAATATTTGCTGAAGCTGCTTAGGCTGAAGTACCCGACTTTTCCCGGCAAGATTAGCGACACCCAGGCCGAGGATCTGGTCAGGGAGCACTGCTATATATCGCAGAACTATGAAGAAGAACTCAGCCACTACCTGGACTGGACCGGGCTGGAGGATCGCGACCACATCGTCCAAACACCATTTACCGAACAGATTGTAGTCCAGAAGACGGAGGAAGAGCTAGCAATCGCAGCAGAGAAGCGCAAAGAGAGCGGTCGACGGCTACAGGCCCAGGCTGCTAAGATGCGTTTGGATAAGCTGAAGAAGAAGGAGGAGGAGTTTGAATATTACGTACAGCTCCAGGCACAGCTAGAAGAAATACCTACAAAGAAAGAGAAGGCGCGGGTACTTGAATCAAATGACTTCGATGACGAAGGCCAGCTCGACAAGAGGGTCAAGGAACTTGAGAAGTCGATCAAGAAGACACGAAACAAGGATCTCGGCGATGATGCCGAAGAAGAGCAGCAGGAAGAGCCCACCTTCCCCCTGCTCGAGGTCCCCGATGACCAGCTTGATGAAGAAGGCATCAAACAGAAGCGGCAACAACGACTGATGAAGTCTAACTACGATGCCCGGCTCCGCGCCCGAGTAGAAAAGGAGGCAGAAAGGGCACGACAGGCGAAAGAGCAACAACTCGACGACGAGCGACGAGAAGCCGATCCAGAAGGTTGGATTGGCGAGCGCCGCATTGCCCGCCAGGCTATCGTGCAGAAGATTAAGGATCGCGAGCGCCTGAAGGCAGAGCTTGGCAACCGCAAGTCCCTTGCCAACCAGATGCGAATGAAATCTATCGCCAACTTGGCCTCGGATGCGCCGTCGAAGAAGCGCCGCCGTGGTGGAGGCGACGATGACACCTTCGGTGCTGACGACGCAGACTGGGGCGTATACCGCACGATCGCCACTGGCGAAGGCTCAGACGACGAAGAAGAGGAAGATCTGAGCAAATCACTGAAGGACATCGAAGGTCAGCTACTCCAGCACGACCCGAACTTCACAGAAGAGTCCACCAGAGAAGCGCAGACAGATTGGACAAAGAGCGTCTTGCACGCCTTCTTCCACGGCCCTTACCCGTACGATTCCGAGTCTCAGCGCGAAGCCCACCAGCTCCATCTCAACGTCGAACGCATCCGCGTCCCCGAAGTCGTCTTCCAACCCTCCATCGCCGGTCTCGATCAAGCCGGCATTATTGAAATCGCATCGACGATCCTAACCGAGCGACTCGCCAACAATTCTCGACGAGACGATGTGCTCAACGATATTTTCCTGACAGGTGGCAACACACTCTTCCAAGGCTTCGAGGAGAGGCTGAGGAATGAGCTCAGGGCCGTGTTGCCCGCTGAGCAGAGCATAAAGGTCAGGAGATCGAAGGACTGCGTGCTGGATAGCTGGCGAGGTGCAGCGCAGTGGGGAGGCAAGAAGGAAAATAGGCGCAATTTTATCACTAAGGCAGAATGGGCGGAGAAGGGTGGCGAGTACATCAAGGAGCACGATCTGGGTAACGCGTTGGGTTGAGTCGACTGGGCAATGTACGATTATGGTGAGCAAAGACACTTGTCTCCAGAGTGTTTCCTGGTTGATCGTAATTCGGCGTAGGCGAATCTCAATACCAGTGGTGCCAGCAACGGCGCCACTTTCTCATGTCGCTCGTCCTGATTATTTTACTGCTTAGCCGGTATCGCGACACTGCTATGTGCTACGTCTATCTCTCTAAGTGTCGACCTCTAGAGCCGACCGACAGTCTGCGTTTCGGCGTGGTCGATGGTTCACCTGAGGCTAGACTGTTCAGGAGTTCTTGCTTCTGCAACGGACTGTGCAGCTCTGTTCGAATAAGGAAGTCTTCCTAGGGAGCAAGCACGAGCACGAGCGCGAGCACGAGCACGGCACACGGCCACCTTTCTACGGGGTAACCAATAGTCGCTGCCCTAGCAGGTGAATGTTATGAGTTTGAAGATACGTCTTGATTGGTCTAGCAACTCAACTCGCACGTTATCCCACGCCATACCCTATGCAATGTATACCGAACCCAAACCCAAGCAATGCAACGCCATCCGATGGACTATACATTCTGCCGACGCTACAATCTGAAAACAACAATGCTGAACTTGACTTTGCGCCTCCACTCCCCCGTGCAATCATCATTCGTAAAGCCGTTCCAGTTGGACTCCATAAAGAACACAACTCATGCTGCGCTCGTGCTATTCAAACAGACTCGAACATGAGACCTAGGCAGTCTTGGACTGCTGATGCTGCTCACTGACCCACTCTAAAACACTCTCGTAGCAAAGCACAAACTGGCGCAGAGACTGCACCATGCTCAAACGCTGGAGACGGAAGTCCTCGACCGTCTTCTCGATGAGATCCACATCTTCCTTGCGGATCCATGCGCCGTTCTCGCGCTGATTGGGAGACCCGGCGTCGACGTCCATAGGCGTACTTTGCCTGCCCTGGCGGGCCTGCTTCTGGCGCTTGAGCATGTCGAGGACGGAGTCTACAGTGCAGAAGGTACCGGTACGACCACAGCCGGCGGAGCAGTGGACGATGACTGGACGGCTGTTTGCTGGCTCGGGCTTGTCGGGGGAGTTAACGCCATTGACAGATCGCACCACTGCATCGGTCTGCTCGATGAGACCGAGCAAGTGTTGTGGATGGGCTGGGGCACCGAAGTCAGGCCAGTTGGAGTACTGCAGCTGTGTAATCTCGCGCATCCGCTCGAAAGGCTCGTCGTCATTGGATAGGGTGAACTTGCGTACGGTGACGTAAGGCTTCTCGGATGCCGGGGCTGCTTTGGTGACATCTTCGTTGGGGTCAGGGAAGAAAGAGGTCTTTGGCTGCGAAGACGTCGATTTCCTTTGGCCAAGGGAAGGTCTATGTGATTGCGAACGATCCTTATGGCTTTGAATCTTCGAGGGCTCGAGGGAAGCACGATGCTCTCCGAGCTGCTTCAGGTGCAAGTTGCCGAAGTGCTTGTCAGACCAGTAGTTGTGTGCCTTGACTTGCCCGCCCTCCTGCTCAGCGGTAAGCATCACAATGACGCGAACATCCTGCTGCCAGACAACATTCCAGAAGTCCTGAATGAAATTAGTAGTGGTCATCGTTCGTGATGTAAGTGCAAATCGTACCTTGAAAGTAGCGGGGATTGGACCCTGCGTCGCGATGTAGCGCTTGTTCGAGTAGGCGGCTTGGACGTGATTGGCGTTGATGTAATCACAGGACCCGTCCTCGCAACCCTCGAGCTTGACTCGAGAATGCTCGTACGGCCAGATGTTGTTGTATCGGTTCTTTGAGCCTTTCTCGATACCGGCAATCGTAATATTCTTTGAAACGTCTTTTTGGCCTCCCGGGGTGCCGTAGACGACCTGACCGGAGAGCGCCTCTTGCATGCGCTTCTGCTCCTTCTTTTCGATGTGGAGGAACTTGTCAGAGACACGCTTGCCTGCATCCTTGTCCTCTGCTGCCTTGTGTAGCCATTGGGGGACGTCTTCCTTGGCAGACTCGGGCATGGACGCAGGCTTCTTCACAGGCATCTGGCCAACACCACCAATGAGGTCCATGTTCTGACGGATGTTGCCGAAGAAAGGATTTGCAGCGTTCTGTGTAGCGGGCATTGGACACCCGCCAATGACAGGGGCGACTGCTGAACCACCAAGGTCCAGCTTCATGGCACCCTTGAACCCTGCAGACGAGGTTGGGCTTTGGGAACTTGACTGTGTTACCCATTTGGGGAACTTCTGTGCAAATTCTTGGAATCCGCCACGGATGATGAAGGTACCACCGTTCCACCCCTCGCTCGTGAACTTCTTAAGTGTGTTGATGCAGATTGCTGCGTCCTTGAGCTGAGCAGAGTTGGAGTCGTATACTATGATGTGCTTGCTATTCCTCCACTTTTCGAACCGTTGTCGCTGCTCGTCGTCTTTGAAGGTCTCTGCCAATTTCTGGACATTGAATGACGCCCTTTTCAGTAGAGTTGTAGGTATGCAAAGGCTCAATGCGCCTGCTATGCGAGACTTGGCATATTGTGTAGATACACGGAGGTCCAGCAGCAGTACCTCTTCGACAGCTGACTCGAGGATGTTGAGGATGTGCTGAGGAGTTGCCATGGTCGGTCCGTCGGTGTTGCCCTCGTTGGAAATGTTAGCCGGCAATGTCTCTGCACGCATCGCTTGGTGGTGTGATGCCTTTGTGGGCGGTAGTGAGGGTCGAGGAGGGCGGATCTCGTCAAATTCAGCAATGGCGTCTGTTCGTGCAAAACCCTCAAACGAAGCCGGCGAATTTCTCCGAGGTCGGTCGGGGAACATTTCTGATTCTGTAGAGAGCATGCGTTTGGGTGAGCGTGGCTTGGGCGATTTCGGCGACGAGTCGCTGCTGCCATCGTACTTTTCGATGGTGGGCTGTGCCGTCTCCCTTATCGACTGCGGAGACATGGGCGGCTTGTAGGACCCAGCTAGTGGACCCTTGGTGGGCACCGCCGCTGAGAAGGAGCCGAAGTCGAAGTTGCCCAGTGCGAAGCCTTTGGCGTTCTCGGAGGCTTTCCTGAACTGCTCGAAATCGGGGTTCTGCTCGACGGGGATCATCTGCGGCGAGGCGGCGGCAGTCGAGCGCACGTTGGAGGTGGGCGGGCTCCAGTTGCCACGGATGTGCTGTGCAGCGCTCGACGAGAAGTGGTCGCCATTGACGGTCAGGCCAAAGTAATTAGGGCTCGGCGTGCCGGGTGCCTTGCTGCTCTGCACGACATGGCTCGGGGTTTTGGCGACGCCGTTCATGCGGGGCGCGAGGGGTGCTGGGTTGGTCCTGGGAAGGGTGGTGCTTGGCTTCGTCATGGGCGTCGATCGGACGGGGCGCTGGGCGCAGTGGGAGGTGCCTCGTGGTCGAGGGGAAACCACAGGTGTAGACATGGTGAGAGCGCCGGGAGGTGTGTCGAGGTAGCAGCAAGACTCTAGCGGCGGTGCAGGGTCGCAGTAGGGAATAGGTACATGAAATATGGATCCCCCGTGGCGTTGCTATGGTTGGCGTCAGGTGCGGGTGTAAGGACCAGGGGTCTGCAAAAGCGCACGTATGATGTCACCGCGCCGATGACAAACGCGAACTGGACGGCGCAGCCGCAACGCTCAAAACAGTGTCCGCCGAGTTCCCGAAAAATGCAACGCCTGTCTGACGCCGGACGGAGACGTGCGGTGCGTGACTGTAGCAACGGGCAGGTGCTTGTTTCTAAACTTGGTGCCGCGGCCAGTTGCGTGATGATGTAAGGGTGGGCGGCCTCGCTCGCTAAGGGCACGCAGGGTCTACTCTCCTGAAACCAGCACTCGTGACTGCAACGGTAGGGCTGAGGTGCCAACGGCGGAGACTGAGCGGAGAGGGGGAGGGGACGGCGGAAACAGATGCCAGCGAGCGCAAGATTTGGTCGCAAAAGAGCGGCGGATCGAAAGTGCTTATGAGGGATCGGGGAATGGAGAGCTGTTTAGTGCTCCGCTTCAGGAAATAGAGCGCTGTTCTGGAACCTGACAATCATCACCACTTTTTCCACCCACCCCGTCAACTGCCCGCCCTATCAGGCTGGAGCTTCCCGCGCCCGATTGCGACATTAGCCCGTTAGGGCAGAAGAGGAGACAAGAGTGACTTGTGCTGTGACTGTTCGTGCTCCAGCACTACACGTCTGCCTACCAGTATGCGCAGGTCACACTGTCACTGTGAGTTTTCTGTCTTGTGCAGGTATTGCGAGCCAGACGACCGAAACCGGGAAGTACTCGAGGCGCAAACCTGCTGTGGCTTGTGTGAGACCAAGCTGAGCAGCCTGGGCGTCAGTTCAAGTCTTGACGCGAAACGAGGCGGATCCACCAACTCTGGACCCTGAGATCTGCGTGCGCCCAAAGATTGATGTACATTCGACATGCTGATTCAAGACAAAGACCCGCCGATGCACCGTGGTAAATCTTCGCACAACTGATCCACGGGCGTGGAGGTAGTGGCGGACTCGATGCTGGATGTGTTGATGAGACGGTTGATCTCCAGTAACCGACCAGGCTGATAGATCCGCTTGTCGCGTGCCGGTCGGGCTCCACAATGGTGACCGCTGTTTTGTCGAGTTGGCATTATTGCTAATTGCAGATCTCCTTGATTCACGCTGACCAGGGCCGGCTATCTGAAGTGCACTGGCTTGCAGGTCTCAGAATTGACCCCGGCAGCGCAGCGACATCGTTCATCACCGCATCTTGGAGGGCTCGCTGCAGCCTGTGGTGTTGAGCGGAGCCAAGAGCACATTCGCTGGGATTCGCTCATTTCTCTCGGCCGTCGGCTCTGTTCCTGCAGTGTTAGCCTCCCACATTATCACACAAAGCCTTGGATCTTTGGTAGTGTGAACGGGCCGTTGAAAAGTCCTCGTGGCCTTCTAGCACGCTCTACGGTGAAAACGGACCGAGTAGTGAGTTGAGAACTGCCCTGTTTCCTAACCTGAAAGCTGTAGAATGTCATGATAAGTCCCGAGTCATCCGGTGCTGGGTGGTCAATAAATCAAGGAACGACTCGTGAAGAACGCAAGTCAAGGGACTCCTGCTCCGAACAAATGAAAGCCAGGTCTGGACACACTACTGAACGTTTCCGGCAGTCGTATAGGTACCTACATACGATGAGGCATTTGTTGGAGACGAGAAGTGCAGGAGACGCGGGAATGCAGAATCACTGTGCTGCATGTTCACTTGTGCTCTCCCCTGTCAGCAAGTGGATGGCAATGCTAACAATATCACGCTCAAATTTGAAGAAAGCTTTCGATACCAAGCTCAGTAAATTCAAGTTTCGATAATACAAGAAGCACCTTGCGCAAATAGATGTCGTCTTGCACGTGTCGACGCGAGGACGCGCCTGCCAAAAGCCCCCGCGCTACGCGTAACTTCCAACTGCAACCCCACCCACTTCACCGTCCCACAATACAGCCAACATGTCGCGAGACGAGACACCGCTGGTACGCGACATACCAGATGAAGAATCATACAGTCATGTGCACCGCGTAGTACTCCAGTCATTCCTTACCCATGGCGTAATGACACTCGACGAGTTCAAGCCCGTCCTCGCGTCCATCATGACCGCCCATAGTCCGCCGCACCACGTCCACTACACACACAATCACACTGACACGCACCTCAGACCCCGACCGTCCCTTCCTCGAGGGTGATGTGACGCAATCCGGCTTCATAACGCCGATGCTGCAAACCATCAACGCACGGCTGGAGCCATACAACTACGAGATCCGGCACGGCCGCAACCAGATCAGCAAAGAGATAACCTACGCCCTCGTCAACAAAACCTCCGACGCAATGACGCAGCTCGCAACCCGCTTCTCCGCCTCGGAAATAGCGTACATCCGCCGCCTGCTCGATGCCATGTTCGAGACCCACAACACCGCCGTGCGCGAGACAATGGCGCTCAAGCAAATGGAAGCCAGCAACCTCGCCAGACCGCGGCGAAGCAGACAGAGCCAGGCAGCCAGCGTGGCAGACGCGGCTGACAGCCAGGCGCCAGACACAGGAATTACGATTGCAGAGGCGGATGCGGTGCTCAATGCGCTGGTCCAGGATGGCTGGTTGCAGCTCAGCAAAGCCGGGTACTACTCGCTTGCGCCGCGCGCGCTGATGGAACTGCATTCTTATCTGAAGGAGACGTATAATGAGGCTGCGGAGGATGAGGACGACGAGCCGACGGTCAGGATCCGCGACTGTGAGGGCTGCAGGGAGATTGTCACGTATGGGGTGCGGTGTAATAATCGCGAGTGTGGGGTGCGCTGGCACGACCGGTGCGCGAACCAGTATTACAGCGGCAGGAGGGCGGAGGGGAAGAAGTGCCCGCAGTGCAGGACGGTGTGTGGAGGGAACGTGTATGTGGGCGAGAGAGCGGATAGGGTAGCGAGGAGGAATAGCTCAGGCGGGGGAGGAGGAGAGGAAGTGATGGATGACGAGGACGAGTGATGATACCCAGTGCAAGCGAAGAGGCAAAATGAAGGCAAGTTCTTCGAGAGTCTGATACACCATTTTGAAGTCTCATCTTGTGCAGATGCGAAAGTCGTATATACAGTGCCCAAAACCACCAATCTGTCACGTTTAGTTCACACCGTTGGTCTTGCTCTTATGCGCCCTGCGCTCCGCAACAGCAGCAGCAAGGTCCTCGAGCACGCCCACTGTGGTGTCCCAGTCAATGCACGCGTCGGTGATGGAGACGCCCTTCTTGAGGCCGCTGGGGCCCTCAGCGGGGACCTTCTGGTTGCCCTCGTTGATATTGGACTCGATCATGACACCGACGATGCCGGTCTCGCCGTTGCGGATCTGGTCCGCGACGACCTTGGCGACCTTGGGCTGGTTGCGGTGGTCCTTGTTGGAGTTGCCTGGGAGCATCAGTACACATCGTCTGTTGAGTGTGGAAATAGGTCTGGCGTACCGTGAGAGCAGTCCACCATCATGACCTCGGGGAGGTTCTTCTTCCGCAGCGACTCGCGCACGGTCTTGATGCTCGCGGCATCGAAGTTCGTGCCCTTGGATCCGCCGCGCAGGATGACGAAGCAGTGCTCGTTGCCGCTTGTCCTGGTGATAGCGGCCAGACCCTGCTTTGTGACACCCATGAAGTGGTGCTTCGCAGCTGCGCTGCCAATCGCATCAACGGCGACTGTCAGACCGCCGTCGGTGCCGTTCTTGAAACCAATGGGGAACGAGAGACCAGAGGCAAGCTCACGATGCAGTTGCGACTCTGTTGTGCGCGCACCGATGGCGCCGAGGGAGATCAGGTCTGCGAGGAACTGGGGCGAGATGGTGTCGAGCATCTCGGACGCAATGGGCATGCCGGCGCTCGTGAGGTCAACAAAGAGCTTGCGGGAGATGCGCAGGCCCTTGTTGATCTGGAAAGACTCGTCAATGTCGGGGTCGTTGATCAGGCCCTTCCAGCCGACTGTTGTGCGGGGCTTCTCGAGGTAGGCACGCATGATGACGCAGATGTTGTCTTGCAGCTTGTCGGCGAGAGCCTTCAGGCGCTGGCAGTACTCGAGGGCCAGCTCGGGGTCGTGCAGCGAGCAGGGCCCGACCATGACCAGGAGACGGTCATCCTGCTGTGTGATGATCTGGACGGCTTCCTTGCGACCGCGGACGACCGTCTTCTCGGCGTGTGATGTGATGGGAACCTCGGCGGCGAGGAGCTGGGGAGGAATCAGAGGGTCGTATCCGAGGACTGTGCAGTGGATTAGTATGAGGGTCAATTGGAATGATACGACTGTACCCACCGCGCACATCGTCGCTCTGCTCGTTGGAATTGAAGGAAGGCATGTCTCCTGCTAGTGTAGGGTTCTTGAGATCTGCGTCGGCGAAGGCCATTGTGAAGGTGTCTGCTTCTTATAGCTCGTTAGAACTGCGCCCTACGCGGTCCAGCAGGGCAGTCTGTTGGCTCTACTCACAACAGGCCGCTAAGCGATCAAGAACAGCGGTCAGGCTTGTGTGCTGAGCGCAAGCTGTGCAACGCCACGTAGGGATGTGGTGTGTGAGGGGCAATGCGCTGAGGTCAATGGGATGCTGACAGTGAGGCACGGTGCCAATTGATTGAGACGTGGAGGTCGTGCAGAAGTAATCGTCCGAGTTCGGAAGCTGACTATGGTGTGAAAGTGTGCAGTTTTTACAAGTCGCCTCGGTCTGGATGGAGTCATATGCATACACAAATACCTCGAACAATTTTAGAGCCGAGTTCACCAATGGAAGCGGGGCCAGTGCTAATCGATACCAGACCTTACTCACCGACTTGGCGCGTGCACACGAACACAGATGCATTCCTCAGGCGCCTGGATCGCCCGCCGCCGCCAAGGGCTGTGAACACCGACACCGCAGCTCTGTCGTTGGCTGTGCTTCTGCTCGTGCTCCTCTTCGTTTGTGTATTTTGTGACCAGTGCTGATCTGCAGGAGCAATGCGCTTTCAGCTCAGTTGTTGCCATCGAGAATACCCTCTTGTTCCTCCACTCTTGCTGTACATGCATGTGACTGAGTATGGCCACACCCATCGTCCAACCTGCCTTCCAGCTGAGCAAGCTGCATTCAGCTCTTACACAAGCCTCGCTGCGGACACCCGGGCCGAGCAGAGGGAAGCGACAGAACCTCCGCGGTTTATTTCGACAAGCAACCGAGACGGATGTTTCCCCTTGACCCTGCGTCTAGCGTTTGCAAGCATCCGCCATCATAGTGCAGCAACGGCGCAACTTCACTTGCGGAAGGAAAGCCCCCCACAGAATCATCCAGCGATCCGACAGAGGCGCGCGACTCCACCAACTGGGCAGCCAGAGAGACTTCATGCAACACCTGAAACAGGGCGACAGTTCTACTGCAACTTCCCCTGATCGTCTAGCCCATCAGCATCTGCTTCAAAACAAATGAGGACGCCACATCCATCGCTGCTTCGAGCATTCCCCGCATAGACGCTCTGCGCCGCTGGTCATTTCACTGCTGCCTCGCTCGCACGTTGATCGTGTCCCTCGCTGTAATCGTATTTCAATCGTTCTGACATTACGCCCACAATGTTTCAGTTCCAATCCATGAACACCACCAAGCGGCGGCGCGACGACGACTCGGACTCTGAAGACGAGCGCAACCTTAAGGTGCACATCACGAAGACTCTGCGACGACGATTAGCTAACATGCCACAGAAATCGCGACCCGTATACCTCGCACGGTTCAACCATGGTTTCGCGCAATCACCGCTACACATCAATGTGGGACCTTCGCTTCCACCGTCGCCGCCAGCAGCGACATCACACAACAGCATGCACAACGAGCAGACGCAAGAATCTACCTGGGGCGGGCCGGTGCTGTCCTCAAACTGGCAGGACGTGGACTACAGCATGGACATGGAAGAGGACGACAGCCAGAGCGACGTGCGCAGCCAACCACCAGAATCGCCGTTCGGCAATCACTTCTTTCGACCGCCGACGCTGAACCCTTCCTCCTCTCTGCACTCAGAGAACGGCAGCACCGGGCGCATATCAACACCCATACACCCAACCTTCAACAGAGGTGGAATGAGCGGATTCGGCTACCCGTCCAGCGGCTCAGCAGGCAGCATGACAAGCAACGCCCTGCCGCCACTTTCATCCCTCACAGTCCGCAAGAGCAGACAAGACCAACCCCACGACCGCAGCCGCAGCCGCCGCATGCCTTCGCCCATCTCCGAAGACGAAGACATCCCCGACACACCCACCGCCCTCACGCAATCGCAACTCTCGCGACTTAGTGTCTCGCGCGAGAAGCCCGAGGACATGGACATGGACAAGGAGTCTGCTGCGACCTCGCTTACGCTGCCTCTCACACCGCGCGGTCGGAAACGCAGCGGTGCGCTGACAGGCACGCCACGGTTCAGCATGGGTTATCGCGACGACTGCGAGAAGTGCAAGCAACGGGTGCCAGGGCACTATTCGCACTTCCTGCCTTGATCCACATGGCTATAGTACACACGACAACAACTTCATTACATTGTTTAGAGCACATGGCGTTATCATCAGGCGCTGGCGTGCGCAACGGGCATGGTTACAAGAGCATGGAGGACCCAATATTTTGCAAGGCGTTCAGTAGGGCATCTCTGCATTTTCTCTCGAATCACACAACATGAACGAGCTCGCTGCTCCCAGAATATTCTCTACCGCGCATATACCACCAATGCATTACCACTATTATTCAAGCCGAACCTCCCACCTCCACTTCCTCGCCACACCTCCCACACCTCCCACAGCTCATTCCCGCCCATCGACCACCACATTACCACCGAATCCCGTCCTTCGCTTATCCTCTGCACCCTCTACTTCCACCTCGTCCTGCTCAGCATCGTGAAACATCCGGCCCGATCGAGCCGTGCAGCTAGGGCGCGGAATCATGTGCCCTGGTTATAGCACCCTTCTTAACGGGCGTTGTGAAACGAGCGCGGCCAGCGACGGCAGCGTAGACGAGCGCTTGCATGTGTTTTATGCTCTTGACCACTGTCGTGACCACTGTTCTTTCGTGGTGCGAAGGAGTGGTCGTGCACGGTCCGCTGTCCTGGTACAAGGGTACGGGCATGTTTCAGGCTTCAGGCTGATACTAAGGCATGGTGCTTGTGCCTCGGGAAGAGGGTGCCGCTTTCATCAGGCGCTGAGATTGCTTAGGTATATCAGCCGCTAGTACGGTAGGTATGGCGGGCTTTCAAACTGGAATTGAAGGTAGTTGCAGGGGCACGCGGGTGATGGGTTCCTGCCTTATGTGCGCGGATGCAAGGCTCGTCGGTGTTGGGCTGGGAATTTGCGGAAGCGGATTTGGAGTATGTTCATTATCAGGAATCGACCAGCGACAGTGTCACCTAACGCTTAGCCTATACGGGGAGGTAGAGTGCAATGAAGATGGTCAAGAGTTCGACGCCGTAACGCCAGCCGTGGTATATATTCCTGTCGCAGCAAGCCATCCCAAAGCATGTCAGAACAAACACGGTGCGCATCTACCAGCACTCCCACTTCTGGCCTCCCATGGCCACCAAGCGGTTGAACAGCTCGTCTCTCAGGGGTATGGCCGTGAGCCTGATAACACTCCCCTTGCGATCCACAATCTCCAGTCCATCAGCAACCTCGCGGTTCATTGCCCAGCCAACAACCAGCTTCGCCTTCCATCCATATCCACCGATCTTCTTGAGCTCCATGATGTCGCCGACAGGAATGCTCCACGACGGATGCAGATCCTCACGGTCCTGCGTGCCGATCTTCTCAATCGTCGAGTCCGTCGAGAACGCTATGCTTGGAATCGTAGCAACAGTCGTGATGTACACATGGCCCTTCTTACCCTTATCTCTCGCCTTGAACTCCACCGGGCCATCGATTTTGTTCACGTCTTTAGGCTGGACGGCACCGAGGCGGTTCTTTGCGTGCTCTGAGCCGACGGCAGCTTTGACCTTGTCGGCGCCGATGGTGGTTTCGACGCCGCCTTTGACGGTTCCGCGGAAGAAGTTGAGGATCTTACTCCCTTTCTTGCCGTGCTTGGTGTCTTTTGCTTTGTCGATGTCGGGGCCGCCCGTTTGGTGCGCGATAGTTGGGTCGTGCGCCATGGCTTCGTCGAGCTCGGCTTGCGTTGCGTTCAGCGGCCAGTCTGAACCCGCGGCGCGCAGGTCCTTGTCGCTGACATCGACTGGCGTCTCTGGTGGGGGCTCGTCGATGCGAGGTGGCGGTGGTAGAGGCGCCTTGTTGACTTCGCCGATGCGGAGGAGGGTGATAGTAAGCTGAGCGTTAGTAGGGACGCCCTTGAGTAATGTGTTGCGGAGCTCGAGCAGCTTCTGCCAGTTGGGGAATTTGCGATTTAACTGTTCAAGGCCGCGCTGGATGACTGGGTCGCCGAAGAAGCCAAAGCCAATACCGAAGGTAAAACCTTTCATGAACATGTAGGAGGTAACGAACAGAGAGGCGAGAACGAGAGGAGCCAGGACTGCTGCGAGGCGCATGCGGTATTTCCTCTTAGGAAAGGGAGCGGTTGGTTCGAGGGCATTGCCAAAGCGCTCCCATGTATCGGTCACGTCTGCCAGACCGTGCATGATGGGGCGCATCTTAGTCCACATGGCAGTCTCCATGGGGACCTTTGTCTTGTCATGTTTTGCAGAGGCCTTCCCACCTGATGCTGCTTGCTGTGCGTCTGCAGCGCCAATGGCGATGGATGTCGGGTCTGGAACAGTATCTCCTTGAGGGTTTTCACCTTCCACAGGTTCGCCTTGAGGGTGCTTGCCAGTAGCACTGGCCAGTGCAACATGAGCAATACCATTGACGAAGTTGTTTGCTTCCTGTTCCACGGCCTCACCCTTGTGGTTCTCCGGCGCTCCTGTTGCGCTGTCCTTACTGCCCAAGGTGCCAGCCTTTGGCTTCTGCACGCCTCCCTTAGAGCTGACGAGCGCGATTGGGGCAGGTGGGAATAGGATTTCTCGAGACGGTGGGTAGACGATAAGTGTGACGAGGGCGATCGATACCAGTGGCATGATCAGGTCGAGTAACCAGGCCAGGAAATAAGCTGCGGCGAAGTATGAAGTACGGTTGAACTCGCGCCACGAGCGCAGACGGACGACGTGCTTGCCGAATGTGAGAACTCCAATGCCCTACAATGGCGTTAGCAAGCAAATGGATGTTTCGGTATGTTTAACATACTATCGTCATGTAAACGCGCTCGAGATTCGCGCGTAGCTTGTCTGGCGAGAACTCCTCTTCGTCCGCAATGTTCATGTCAAGCCCTCCAGGGGGCGCGGTGGGAATCTCCTTCACATGATACATTTGCTATTTATGTCAGCTCGATTTGAGATAGAAGTATCCATCATGCTTACCTTGTTGAAACGGCGAACAAGAAGCCACACATCCTCGTTCGAAAGACCTCCCACAAGCGGGCTGTCCACATGCTCCTTTGGTTCATTCCAGCCTAGATCCAGCACTTCCTGACCATGAGCTACTTGGGCTCGACCAGTACCATGGTCTGGGTTGTTGCCCTTTGCTGCTTCAAGAGCAAGCTCGTGGCTCTCGGTAGGCGCATCTACGATGGTTGTGGCCTTGCCCTCGTGAACGGTGGGGTCTATCTCCGGATGAGGGAGCAGGTCCTTGAGAACCACTCCTTCGACCATGATGTGCGAGGTTGTGTGGTAGGAATTCAAGAATATGGGCGACCGAGCATGGGAGGCTTGCTCTTTGTTTTGCTGTTATACTACACCGAGGGAGGTGCGCTTTCCCATGCGGGCTGCGTCATAGCCTGCGCTAGTTCACGGCCCGCTCACAGATCGCGAAGCCACCGCATCACTGGAGATCATCAGCTGCCGCTTTGGGCCAGAACCTCCACGGCGACCGTTACCTCCACGGCAACCGTTGCTTGACACTTAAAGCATGCGCTAGACGCTGCTAGACGCATGATGTTGAACGGATCCAGAACACTTGTCTGTGGTGAGCGACGCAGAGCCCCAAAAAATGGTGAATTTGTGATTCAGCATGTGTCAGGAATGGCATTTTCGCTTACCGATCTTCCCCAAGATCGTGATCTCCGCCACGTCCACCCTTCACTGCGTGTTCCCTGCTTCGCATCACTTCTTATCCTGTCACTGACCTCCACACACAGTCCGCGGATGCAGTGCGCTGACGCAGAACAGAGGCTACATTACTCTTTTGACGTGCAGCGTCATAGCATGCCCGTTGTGCACGTCCCTTCTGGGGATTGAGGGTCTCGATTTTGACAGGTGGGCCTTCGCAGGATCAGCTCCACTCGCTGCAATGTCCCGTTCTAGCCCATAGACTCGAAAAAGCTTTGATGAGAGAGGCTCAGTGCTGGTTCCGACTGACAACCTTTCGAAAGCGGGATCTGACTCGAGCACGATTCACCTTGCATGCGCAATAGTCCACCACGAAGCGTCGATGCGTAGTCAACGCATTCATATAAACACGTCATGGTTCAGAGGAAACGCAACTTGGTTGGAGACTTCGAATATACGGTATGGATACTTATCCGCATACAACGGCCCCTCGATGATTTGATTGGCGGCTATATCGGCTTTAAACCCCGTACATCGGCTTCTCCTCGACTTCCGAAGCGCAATCCGTCATGGATTTCCTCTGTGTATTATTTGGTTCTCTCCTGCAATGGTTTCGGTTCTTGCACCTAAGTTTGGATCTTAAGGTTCTTTTCGCTTGCGCATCTTACTAGACAGGTTTTGCATAGGGAACACATGTGCGACCGACAATGACAAGTAGCGAACCAGAGGCCGAGGGCGGCCAAGCTATGGCCAGCTCGGTAATACATCAGACGTCAACTCCAGCACCTACACCAATTTCGACTCGAGAGAAATTGGGAACTGAAAAACAGAAAGAGTCATCGAACTGGGACATAATCTACAACACACTCACATACTGCCCGCCACGATGTCGATGGGATCCAAACAAGCCGCCGCAGTTCTCGATGTCGATGAACGTCCTGTTCGCCTTTGCGGCCGGCTTCACGGTCGCAAACCTGTACTATAACCATCCCATCCTCAACATTCTAGCCCGAGACTTCGGTGTTCGGTATGAACAAGTCGCGCAGATTCCTACAGTCATGCAGGCTGGCTATGCTGCAGGCTTGCTGTTCCTATGCCCACTGGGCGATCTACTGCCCAGGCGTCCATTTGTATGCGGCCTCGTTTTCTTCACAGCAACGATGTGGTACGTTGAAACATCATCCAACCCGAACCATGACGACTGATTCCCCCAGGCTCGGTCTTTGCATAACAACCAACCTCGGCGTCTTCACAGCCATCTCTTTTATAACCGCCGTCACGACCGTAACCCCCCAGCTCATGCTGCCGCTAGTCGGCGACCTTGCGCCCCCCAACCGACGCGCAGCAGCACTCTCCATCGTCGTCTCAGGCCTCATGCTCGGCGTGCTCGTCGCGCGCGTGCTCTCAGGCACAATCAGCAACTTCGTAACCTGGCGAGCCGTGTACTGGCTCGCGCTGGGCTTGCAATACCTGATCTTCATCCTACTATGGCTGTTTATGCCCGACTACCCTGCGACCAACCCGGGAATGAACTACTTCCGCATCCTGTGGGACATCCTGCTTATGATCCCGCGGCACCCGGTGCTCGTGCAGGCCTGTCTCGCGGGGCTGCTGTGCTCGGCGCCGTTCACGAGTTTCTGGACAACGCTCACGTTCCTGCTTGCCGGGCGCCCGTACCACTACAACTCGCTCACCATCGGGCTGTTCGGCCTCATCGGCATCGCAGGGATGCTGATCAGCCCGCTCTGGGCGCGCGGCATGACGGACAAGTTCGTGCCGCACTTCAGCATCCTGTTCGGGCTGGGCTGCAGCCTGCTGGGCGTGTGTCTGGGCACGTACCTTGGACCATTCAGCGTCGCCGGCCCCGTGCTGCAAGCCCTTCTGCTCGATTTCGGGAACCAGACGGCGCAGATTGCGCAGCGCAGCGCTATCTACACGATTGAACCCAAGCGCAGGAACGGCGTCAATACGGCCTTCATGGTCAGCACTTTCTGCGGGCAGCTCATCGGGACCGCCGCGGGGAACCACATCTACGCCGCGGCGGGCTGGATCGGGAGCGGTAGTACGAGTGTGGGCTTTATTGCGGCGGCGCTGTTGGTCATGGTTGCCAGGGGTCCCTGGGAAAATAATTGGGTGGGGTGGAGGGGCGGGTGGAGTCTGAATAAGAAGAATAAGGATAGTGCGGATGGGAAGACGAGTGAGACGCGGCATTTGGGAGCACGAGAGGAGGGCGATGAGGTGGGCGCGGTCGAGAAAGGGCTGGAGGAAGTTGCTGCGCAGGAGGGGAACGATAGGCCACTGCATGGGGATGGGAGTGAGAAGAGTAGTCAAGAGGGTGTCGTTCGAGCAGTAAAAGCATAGCGTGCGTTGTACACGGCGTATTTCGGGTCAGCGATTCATAGATGGTGCATTCAAGTTCTTCTTGAGTGCGTTCCTCTACAGGATTTCAACCAGCTGGTCCTCCTCGTCATCCTCAGGACCCAGCTCGATCATCTTCCCACTCCCGCCGGCGGCCGCACTCATATCAGGAATATCCTCCTCTTCGCCCTCCTCGTTGCGCATCAGGATCTGCACGAGGCGATCACATGCGTCCCTGACGTCCTCATTCTCAGTATGCAAATGGCACTCGCGCACAATCGGATACACCTTGACCTTGCGCAGCACCGCTCTCCCCTCGGGCGTCGTGGTCAGAAGCAGCAGCGTCTCGAGATGCGACTTGACAATCTCCGGGTCCGACTCGCGCTCCTTGTCGGGCTCCAGCAGCTGCAGCTCGTCCAGCATGCCCTCGGTGTCGTCATCCGAGTACTCCTCCGGCCCCATCAGCGGCAGCAGGATGTAAGGGAGCAAGTTCGCGCCGATGCCGGGCGCGGGCAGCGTCGGGTCTTCGGGCAGGTTGGACAAGAGGACGGGATGGGCGGGGACGCGGAAGGCAGCGTTCTTGATCGTGGAGGCTACGCCCAGACGGCGGATGTGGCTCTTGTGGTCAGTGAAGACCTGAATCTTGGCGATGGGGATGATGTTGCTGTCGTGCTCCTGCGGGGTGGTCAGGTACTCGCGGCCCTTTTCGAACTTAGCCAGGTCGGCGAAGAAGTACGAGAGGTAGTCGAAGTCGGCTTTGGCGTTGTATGCGCCCTCGGCGCCCTTGACGAAGCAGTCCATCAGCTGGTCCATGGCCCATTTTGAGCTCGACAGCTCCTTGGGCACGTCGCGCTTGAGCTCGAGCACGCGCTGCAGCGAGTCATCCTTTGCCATGTTGGCGAGGAGCATGGCCATCTCATTCGCATTGGGCTCCTTTTTGTTCTATCGCCCGTCAGCCCTGTGTCGCTTGCCCCAGATCTGCTGGAGAACTGACATACTGTGATCCGCGACAGTAGCAGCTCAAGGAACTTGTCGTCCTTGGCGATGTTCTTCAGGACCTCGACGTCGGCCGAGATATTGATGAGGATGGTGAGGGCATTCTTCGCAATCGGCGCATAGTCCTTAGCCAGCAGCTTGAGATCCTTCACCGGCTCGAGCTGGTTGCGCTTGAAGAGGGGCACATCAGCTTGCGAGTATCCGACAAGGTGCTCGGCGGCTGTTGGGTGTGAGCGACATGGATGGCGGGGTGGTGGGGCAGCGCTCACCAGCCTGTCGAATCTGCGTGTTGCCGTGGTGGAGGAACTCGACGAGCTGAGGAAGTCGTTAGCGATTCGATCCAGAGTGCATCGTGGCTAAGGCTGTACCTCTTCTAGTTCTGTAGGCATTGCGAAAGTTGTTGCTGATGTCGCATGCGCCAATGACGGACTCTACAACTTTACAAAATTCAACGTTATCGATAACAGTACCGTAGCGCGGACCCCTGCAATCGCCCTTCACGTGCACGTCCGCGACCGCAGGGTTTACGTCAGCGAAAGGGATGTTTCCGCCGCCATGAGAACACATGATAAGCACCGCACTATGACTCGGCGAGCGTTTATACTTCACTTGGGCCTCTAGGAAGACTCGACGTCGTTCCTAGCCCACAGTCGGACCCTTAAAATAGTGCTTCGAGATGATCGCTTCCTCCCGCAGCTTGGCCCGGCACACACCTCTATGCCCTGTGCGCTGGTCAGGCACATGCTGCTCGGCGAATGAACGCAGAAGCAGCGTGCAGAGCGCTGGCAGTGCCGGCGCGTAACGTGCTGCAGCCAACCACCGACATTGAACCTCTAAGCGCCCAGCAGGGTCAGCGTCCTGATTGGCCGCCCCCACTACCAACAGTGCTGCAAGAGGTAGGTTATGCACCGGAAGCACCTCTACCGCTATTGCGGCGGGTAACGAGCAAAGATGTGCTGGTCTTGAAAGCGAAGATGCATCGTCGTTTCCATATGCTCATGGTCCGTTGTGTTTCCAGCGTCAACCTCACAACTACATGCATTTACACACCAAGTGCTCAACACGGCTATTCACATAATTTCTAATATCCAGCTAAAAGAAGAGAAACCACGGACTCAAGATGACAGGAGCTGGGTTCCAGTTGTTTCCTCCACCCCCTCGGGCAAGGCAAACCAGCCCAGCTCGACGACCATCACCAGCTGCGAAGCCTTCTGTTCCAGCACCAGCTGTGGAGAGGAAAGACAGTGCGAACCATATGGAACAACCAATCGACTTTCACGAGCTGGTCATACAGGTCAATTCGGTCCCTGTGTCGCCGTCGAATACCAACAATGCTGCTCCAGCAATCACCGCACCGCCTCGAGCGCACGTTGCGCCAGCAAGTGGTTTCACATCAGGCCCTACAACAGCATCGCCAGTCGTGGCACAGGAAGACTCTTATCGAGGCCCTTCACCATCGTTCTCGACACCCAGTGCCTATAACCCTGAGCCCAATCGAGCAGTCTCTCCTGCATTCTCAATATGCGACACACTGGTCCGCAGCAACACAACTGCAACACGACCGCCCAGGTCACCGCAAGAAGAAATTCAAATGCGGTCTATGTTCCCAACATACAATCCCAACCTTGCTCTCTCGCAACAAGTGTACATGCCTACGCAAGCATCACCAACCCACCTACAGACAAGCAGGTCACCATACTCTTCAGAGCCATACATACCCCATGGCAACACCTCATCGAGAAGTACCCTGACTGTTAAACCGCCGCTGAAAACGTTCTTCACCCCTTCGCATTTACTTGACAATCTCTGGTTGGCTACCAACGGGCAAGAAGAGCCAGCGATCCAGATTTACACCCTCAAGATGCATCGAGCAACAATGGCGAATCCTACCATCACGTTTGGCACGACACCTTCTCTTCCGTTCTATAGTTTGGCAACGACGAACCTTGCTGGCGAAGACGCTCCTGTACAGAGTATCATCAACGAGCTCCTGATCCAACGACATCACCCTACCCAACCACGAGTGCTCCCGATTGCACAACTCGACTTGATCTCACCCCCTTCTATGGACACAATGACATTCGATTCCCGGCAACAAGAGTCTACCACACTCCTGACAAGCATCTACCCAAAGCTGGCCGCTCTGCAGGCTCTAGACGCCGCCGCAACCTCGCCAGCCGCGTCACGCATCGCTCTCGTCGACCCCGGCGCACAATCACCCGCAGCCCAGCGCCTCGCAGAAGACGTCCTTGCCGGCGCCGCTCAGCGAGAATGCTGCACGCTCCTCTGGACGCGCGACGACCCTAACCAAGCCGCCAACCCCTGGGCCCAGCACATCCCCTCCGAGGGCGCATATCAACTGCACCACCCCACGCTGGGCATCTTTCCCATCCAAATCGATGGAGATTGTAGTCTGATCAACAAGCCGTCCACGCGCCCCGTAACCGCCATATACGGCCACAACATGCCCTCGACTCCCGCTCTGGGCATGGCGAAACCAGCATCCATCACCCTCCTCAACCCTTACATCTTGTCTACAAGCACGCCTCGCACCAACGCCTTCTCCCCGCTCCCCACCCCGCCCCGTTTTGACGGCCAAATGCGTCCCATCAGCGCCACCCCGAGCACCATGAGCGTCACGCAGCTGCCGACGAGCACGGACGCCACGCCCGACGAGCACATGCTCGCGCGCCTCGACTTCGCCAACGACGCGCTGGTGCTGAACCTCGGCGCGCTGACGCGCTTCGGGAATCCATTCCTCGTCGACGTCGCGGCTTCCACGCTGTGCGCTGTCGCCATCGCGGAGGCTACGCGGGGCAGGAGTAGTAGGCAGGCGAGTCTGGCGAACTTTGACGCGCCGCCCGCGAACGACTACGAGGATGTGAGTCCCGAAGCCAAGGCTCGCAGCTTGAAGGACAGTTTTAGACAGGATTGGGAGGGCGTGGATGTGCGGGGCAAGCAGGGGCGGGACAAAGCCGGAGTCGCAGTGACGAGCTCGCTGCGGAAACTGATGCTGAGCTTGAAGAGCACGAGCGTGGATGAGACGACGGCGGGTCGGACCCGCGACCGCAACGCGCAGTTCGACAAAGATATCGAACTGGGCGAGTGGTACGGACAGACCGCCCCCCCTTCTACCAAGGAAACGCGGGCGGCGAAGAAGGCGCGCAAAGCAGCTGAAAAGGAAGACCGGCTGCCGTTCGTTGCGAGAGCGATCATCGGCGTGCTGACTTTTTCGTTCAAGGCCGTGGTCTGGGTGTTGATGGTTGTGTTCAAGATCATCGCCGGGATGTTCAAGATGGTGGTTCGCACGGTCAGCAAACACTGATGACGTGGTGTGTTTGCATAGCTATATAGTTTGAAGTGGGCTTCGATACAGACTTGCGGTTCTATATAGACGGATGGTTTTGCAATGTACCAATTTTCATCTCGCGCTTCAGATCCCCACCAACTGTCCCAACTCCTCACACGCGATATTTCGAGCCCACAGCTCGATAATCGAGAGACTCCAAGGTGTCGTGATCAGCTGGATTTGCACCTGAGCGACGCGAAGAGGAAGGGCTCATTTCTGAAAGTGTCCTACGGGGGGAAGGGCATTCTGGACTGTTGGATGGAGATCTGGTGGCGGCCATAGCTGTGCGAAACCAACTAATTGACCTAGTATGCGTGAAGCGTGAATGCAATGGTTAGCGAGCGAGCGCTGCCTTCGTTCAAGACCTGGTTGTTCCGAAACTATGAATCCTTGAGATGGACTGACGCACTCCACCGAGGAAAATGAGCACTTCTGAAAGAACTTTGGGTGCTTGGATCCCATGAGTGTGGGTGGTAAAGATGCAGATTACGAAGGGAAAAACGGCAGGCCCGACAGGGCTGGTTTGGCGAAGCGCTTTAGACGATGGGACTGTTCATAGCGACATGAGCTCCGTCTGTTCAAAGACGTTCAAGACGATCAGATGAGATCCCATGCTTCTCTAAATAGATATTGAACGGTTGGTTGCTCGCTGACGATGTGACTAGTCGCGGATGTCTGTTCTCCGAAGATGGTTTCCCTTCATCAGCCGGAGATCGGTCTTCGCCTGATGAGCACGACACATGAAGATGGGTCTTCTTCATCAGCCGAATATGGGTCTTCTTCGGATCCATGCCTGTTGTCGGAGCTCCGCCTTCTGTCCCTATTCTCTCTCTTGTCAGAGTCTTGTTTCTTCTCGGACATGAGCCCACGACCGCGATGCAGAAGGGTCCCCAACTGAGTGATTGCTCTTCTTGCTTCATTACTGAAGTATTGAATCAAGTCTTCCTCGGCTCTAGACAGAGGAACGCGGTCGTAACGACGATACAGGGGGCCGTCCAAATTCGCGACGACGCACCTAGCCGGATTCTGGAGTTCAGCGTTGATTGACGGTGTGCCTCTACTGGATACGAGGAATCTTATCGGTAGATCACTGGGGATTGACTTCGCAGTTCGGAGGACGAATCGAGTCTGGTTCTCATTTTCACAGTGATCCAGACCGTCGACGAAGATCAGCACTGGAACATTGAGCTTTCCGTCTTTCATTGCGCGTTCAATTGGGTCGTTGATCAGTACGTCCCACTGATTATCAAGGTTCGTAAAGGATATGTCTTGGTGCCTCCACGCCGCTCGGTTGATATAAGGTTCCAGATGGTCGTTTCTCGCTACTTGGATAGCGACGGTTATGAACAGATGGTCTGCATTGCGCACCCCTGACCACCTGAAGGAGAACGTCGCGCAGATAGCTTCCTTCTTCAACGTTTTGTGTGTGGTCCTAGCCACAGTGCTCTTTCCATTTGTTGACCACCCATTGAGCAGAGAACGTAATATCGGTCAGATTCACGCGCCCATCTCAATATGAGGTCAAGGATTCCGCATGTGGCCAAACTGAAACCTTCTTCGACAAGAGGTGTGTCCTCGACTGGTCTCGAAACAAAGCTTCCCTCCTCGATATATCTCAAATGCTGGAGGTAGTGGTTTTGGGTGTAGTGATTGTGGATGTGATCTCCATCGCCCATGTGAGTAAACCCGCCGTGGTTGTTAACTCCAAGGTAAGTATGACCCTGAGAAGAAGACACGTTCATAGTTTGGAATGTCACAGGGACGTGTTAAGTTTGCGATCGTGAAAGTGACAGGTGTTCGGTAAGCATCCGGCATTCGCTGCTCCGAGTAACGAGGCGATACTGAGAACTGCAGACAGTTCGCAAAACAAGCGGACTGCTGAACGTGAGGTAACGATTGGGCTGAACCTGGGGGGCTGACTTGCAGGCTGCAGCGACATGGGTGTCTACTACGGCCTGCAATTGGACGAGGCAACAAACACATAATGCCAAAGAAACACAGCTGTGTACATCGATTCGTCTTGGCCAAGCAAGTAGGCTGAGACAAATAGAGTGGTAATTAGATTCCGGATAGGCTGCTGATCGCAAAACCTTGCAAGCTCATTCCAATACCTCAAATCTTCTCCAGCGCTTGCTTCACTCACCCATGACTAATGGAAGTGGCCAGCCTTGCCGTCGGCGTTGTTGGACTTGCCGCATTGTTTAATGGTGTAGTCGAATGCGTCGAGTACGTCCAGCTTGGCTCTAATTTCGACCGCGATTTCGAGACCAATTAATTCATCTTGGATGACATTGAACTTCGCCTGCGCCGCTGGGGTCAAGTTGCTGGCGTCGACGATGAGGCTTCTGCTAGATCGCAACTAGGCACCAGGTACAGAGATGTTGAAGCACGTCTTCAACACATCCAGAGCTGTCTAGACGACGCGAAGGCAACCTCAAACAAATCGATCGTTATCTCGAAGTACTAATACGAGATCGCAGTCCAGCAAAGGCTTTCAACGCGAGGGGCCCGTGTTCGAACAACCTCACGTAGAATGTACCGACCGGTCCAGCAAGCCAGCAAGCAAGCAGCCTGGGCGCTCCACGATAAGAAGACCCTAAACAACCTGTTCATGACACTCAACGCTTTGATCGATGGCTTGGAGCGCTTGGTCCCCGAGCCGCAAATGCGATACCTCTCCACGATCGAAGTCGCCGAAATCGACGATCCAGAAGCTCTCGAGAGCTTCACCAGCGCGCTGAAGTTGGAGGCAGCGATACAAATGCGACGCGCGACAATTTTCTTCAGGCAGCCGTCGATAAGCAGCTTGGTCACCGTTACAATCGCACTGCAAATCTCGAGGGTACCAAGGTCGGCATGGATGACATAACAATGGAAGATTCACCCGCTGACAGTGTCTCTCATTCTCGAAGACATGAGTACAATGATACTACCAATCACTCAAAGGCGAAGGTCTTGATGGGTAATGTGTATGGCAAGAAGAACGACTTCTGGGACGATTGAGGTCACACGCAGCCCCATGTACGGCTGTTCCTGCTTCCCTGGTCCTGCTCTTTCCATGGTAGTCTTTAGCGCGCCACCGGTTCTGATAGACGGATAGCTTGGGTTGATCAGGGACGGTCGGGCTGAAGAGCAATTGCGACATCCAGGATAGGTAGAATGTTGAGTGGTCGTTGGGCGATTATGTGTGTCGACATGTTAGCCGTGTTGTTCGTGGGCAAGCAGTAAGGATTCCACATACCGACGTGTTACCACAACCAGTGATCTCCCAAATGAAAGCAAAATAATCGACGGTGTATTTGAAAGAAGCAAGATATAAGTTGTGATCTCACCTCAAACGCTTTCTTTGGTAAGTCGGATTCTCTTTGCGTATACCCAGTCTCGTAACGAAAACGATGAGCAGCGATGAATCATACACATCATATCGCATTACTCGAATCCATCGCGCTGCATGATTTCATCACTACCTCGCTGTAACATCGACCCACATATCCTTAATCTCCCACAATCCCAAACTATTATGCGTCTTCCACGGCTGCGTGGGATTACTCAGCGCAAGATCGAAGCACCTCAGCAGTTCAAAAATACACTTGTGCACTTCAATCAACGCAATATTGCGGCCCAGACACACCCACCTCCCGTATCCGAACACCATATCGTTCGTCTTGATCATCTGCTTCAGCCTGTCTTTCTCAGCGGGATGGGACTCGTCGACGAACCAGCGCTCGGGCCTGAAGACTGCAGCATCTTCGCCGTACAGCGTGCGGTTGTTGCGGTGCATCGACCACGCGGAGTAGCCGACCATAGTGCCGCCAGGGATGAAGTACTCTTTGCCTTGCACGGTGACCACGTCGCCGGCGTCGGGGGCGACGCGGGAGAAGAGGTTGGCGACGGGTGGGTGAATACGCATTCCTTCGCGTACGACAGCGGACAAATAGGGCATTTTGCGTGCCTTGGAGTCTGAGATGATAGATGGAGACGCGGGGGCGGTGCCTGATTTCACTGCTTCATCGATTTCGGCCTGGAGCTTTGCGTATACGCGGGGATTGCTCATGACATAGAGCAGGATGATCCGGATCGCGGCAGCCGTAGTGTCGGAGCCAGCGAGAATCTGCTCAAAGGCTTCCTGGAAGAGATCGTCGCCAGATACACCATTGCGGATGAAGGAGGCGAGCATATCTGATTTGCCCTCTGTTGACTTCGACCTGCGCGCATCGACTATCTTGCGCGCTTCGTGCATCATGCGGCCGTAACCGGTCTGGTCTTTTTCTGAAGGACTGATTGCAGGGCCGATGATTGGAGTCTCTCGCATCCAGCCTAGTCCCAGGCCGAAAGCTGTGTTGCCGATCTTGAGGCCTTCTTCAGAAGACTTCAGGTAATCGTTCACATCCTTGTTAGAAGTGAGGTTGCCAAATGGTGTCCCAAGTCCAATGTGGCTGATCACATCTAGAGTGAAAAAGGGGATCTTTTGGGCAAGATCCATCGCCTTGAGTGGCTTCGTTGATGCAGGCTGCGATGCGTATGTTCGGACAAGCTGTACCAGCTCTTGCACATGGCTGTCGATAGCTGGCTCCAGACCTGGATTTTCCTTGCCGGAATACTGGATCTGTCAACCCATGTTCATACAGTGTAAATAGCGGATGTACCTACACCAGCGTACATTTTCTTTCGTCGGGCATCGTGGCGGTCGTTGTCACACTCGGTGAACACGTTGTCTTTTCCGGGCTCGAAACGTGCTGCGTGGTAGTACCATGGCGCTCTGCGATATGGCGAGCGAATACCATTGATGTGAGCCCATATCTCTGGGTCGCTCGTTATCAAATGCTCAGGCGCCACTCGCGCAATCGGACCTGAGCGGTCAGTAGGTTAATATTGGGTGTGGGTCCCCGACATACCATATTTCTCAGTTACATCTCCATAGTAGCGCTGCGACTGACCGCTCAAAACGGCCTTCGAGTGCCACCACCAAGAGATACCTGTAGTAGCGGGACCCTTGAAATGGCTGAGACGATAGTACTGCCGAAGGCGCGCGATGACCACATAAGCCGTGATGACGAACAGGCTCAGATACAGGGGGGAGATCGATCGCAGCAGCGCGCCCAGCTCACCGGTAGCCATGATGATGCTCGGGTGACACACGAAAAGCAATCACTTTTGCGAGGCCCAAGATAAACAACAGAGAAACACGACTGGGCGCGGGTGGATCCTCAAGAAGGGGAAATCTCGTCGGCCGCTAGAATGCGCGTGCCGTTCATGGCTATCGCAAGCGAATTGCTGGCATGCTCTGGCTAGGGAGAGAGCGATGTCCGTGTTTGCAGCGCCGCCTGCCGTGTCTGCGACCAAGCGCACACGACGAGTAAATCTTTGCAGAATCGTATCCGCCAGCAGATTGGCGGACAATTCGACCGAATGCAACTCCAACCGCTCCACCTCCAACGGAAAGCGGCCGAGCACGAATGCATCGTCAACCGCTCCACCTCCAACGGAGAGCGCCCGAGCATGAAGGCCGGCCAGCAATAGCGCGCTCGATCATGTTGTCGAGCTATGCTCGCCGTCAACCGAATGGGCAGCAAAAGTTTTGGAGATCATCACCGCGACAGTGGTTCAAAGAAACATAGACATAGCAGCATCACCAGACAAAGCACATCGATACCGCAAAGCTGCAGCTACGAGTCAGCGATGCCCTCCCTGCATGGACTTCTGACCAAACTCGGCCAGACCCGCCATGCTCACAATATCGCCAGCTCAGTAGTGTCCTCAAAGTGGATTGGCCTGCAGCAGCGACCAGGTTCGAAGCCTGCAACCACGTTTCTTCCCGCCGGTGCACGTTCATCGGCGCCCCGGCTTTCAGAGCCGTCCCGCAGTACATAATTGACGCCCTCCGGGTCGCTGCTCTGCCAGACGAGTCAGCGTGGTCTTCTCTTAACGTTCTGGAAGATAGGACCCCGGAGAACCCTTTGAGTGATACTCAAAGAACTTACCGACAGCCTCGTCGCTGTGTCTCGAGACTCGAGTATAAAGGCTTGCTCGAGCTTGCCTTTGACGTCTGACACATTTGCTTACCCTAAACCCACCGCGTCCCGAGCCAGACCGGCAGGAGTGTGGCGTGGTTGTCGACCGTCAGCGAAGTCACGGCCAGAGACCAACAAAAGGATGGATGCACAAGCTATCACAGGAAAAGTGGGAGAGACAATAGCCTTGCCGGGAGAGACAGCACCAGCTACAGCGACTGGTAGAGAAGCATCGACTTCGTCAGAACCTGCAGAGCCTGCAAGGCAAGAGCAGACTTTCGCGGAAACAGCGCCAGAACCAACAGCTGCAGCAGGTCCATCCTCGGCGGTGGAACATGACCCTGCTCCAATCCAGCCTCCGATCCAACCTGTAAGTGTTCCAAATTCATATCATCAGATCGGATGAAGCATGTTCGAGTTCAGACATCAAATCGAGATGACTTGCAATTTCCATCCCATGCTCAAACGCCCCACAGGAAATCGACTTCGATGAATCAGACTCAGCGTACGGCGACTCAGATCACCTGAGCGATACAACATCAATACCGTCCACCATCTGGAGACACCGCTACGAGAATGGTCGCCGATACCATAAGTTTCGCGAGGGCGAGTACTGGGGCCCAAACGACGAGCTCCAGAACGACCAGCTCGACATCGCACACCACATGTTCCTGCTGCTCCTCGGGAACAAGCTGCACCTTGCGCCCATCGAGAACCCGCAGCGTGTGCTGGACCTAGGCTGCGGAACAGGAATCTGGTGCATGGACATGGCAGACGGTGAGCACCCCCATTCCCTCGCACACATAGTAGCTCGACGCAGCATCTGATCGTTCACGCGCGCAGAACACCCCGGCGCCGAAATCATCGGCGTGGACCTATCCCCCATCCAACCCTCCTTCACGCCACCAAACTGCAAATTCGAAATCGACGACGTAACATCCCCTTGGACCTTCGCGGTGAACTTCGACCTAATCAACATCCGCTCGCTGTACGGCTCCATCGCCGACTGGCCCGCGCTGTACGCCCAGGCGTACGCCCACCTGCAGCCCGGCGGGTACCTACACGAAGTTGAGATGAGCATCCAATTCAAGAGCGACGACGGCACGCTGGCGCCGGACCACGTGCTGAGCCAGTGGAGCGACGTGTTCCACGAGGCGAGCCGGCGGTTCGGGAAGAGCTTCTACGAGGTCTGGAATCTGGTATCATACGCTAAGAACGCGGGCTTTGTCGATGTCGTCGAGCATGTATACAAGGTCCCTGTCAATGGATGGCCGGCAGATCCAAAAATGAAGGAACTCGGGCGCTGGAATTTCTTGCACTGCTCCCAGGGCGCTGAGGGGTGGGGGTTGTTTCTGCTGACCAAAGTTATGGGGTGGAGTGTTGAGGAGGCGCAGGTGTTTATTGCCAAGTTCCGGACGGGTCTAAAGGAGCGCAGGGTGCATGCGTATTTCGAGGTTGTGCAGTTCAGCGCGCGGAAGCCATCTAACTAAGCGCGAGACGCGAGACGGGGATGGTGTGGTGAAGCAATGCGATTATGCAAAAAGCAGAGAGAGGTATCTAGACTCAAAACGTACCACTCCAAACGCCGCAACACACAACCCAAGACGTCTATCTACCATGGGTAGCAAGCGTCTCAAAACCCAAAACCCAATCCCAACGCCCGTCATAACTTCATCCACACCCCCCTCATCTCATACCGCATCATCCATGTCATCGTCTTCCTGGACACCCTCGTCGGCGCGTGCAAGCAGATCCTGCTCCTCGCACGAGCGCTCCACCTCGTCGGCGATGAACTGCTCGTACTCCTCCAGACTGCGCTGGACGTGGAGCTTAAACCGTACAATATCGTCGAGCATGCGCTCGATCTCGGTGTGAAGTTGTTCGCGCAGCGCGTTGGCGCGGAGCTGGAGTTGTTCGAATCTGGAATTGTTAGCGGTGATTCGTTTTGATCGCAGGGTATATCTATCTAGACGAGAGAGAGAGAGAGAGAGAGAGAGAGAGAGAGAGAGAGAGAGAGAGAGAGAGAGAGAGAGAGA